ATGAAGGCCTATTTAACACAGTTTTTTTGAGCCAGTACATCAGGTCTACCTTGCAAGAAAACAATGACAAGGCATACTACCAGGGAAAAAACACAGTTTGAGTAAACTGAACAAGCATCAGAACCAGAGTCTAATATGGCAGGAATGTTGTAATTAGCAGAAGAGGAATTTTTAATAATTATGATTAATATGCTTAAGGGCTTTAATGAAAAAGTAGACAACATGCAAGAACAGATGGGCAATGTAAGCAGAGAGATGGAATATCTAAGAAAGAAGAAATACTGGATACCAAAAACAATGTAACAGAAATACATAATTCCTTAGTCCACTCATCAGTGGACTGCACACAGCAAAGGAAAGGATCTCTGAGCTTCAAGATATTACAATGGAAATTCTCAAAACTGAAAAGCAAAGAAAAAGAGACTAAAAAACATTGACAGGTTATTCAGGTACTGTGAAACAATGCTACTGGATGTAGCATATATGTACTGGCAATACCATTGGAAGTCATAATGACTGATAATTTCCCCTAATTAGTGTCCCACACTAAACCATAGATCCAGGAAGCCCAGAGAACAAGTAATATAAAAAATCCTTCTCCTTGGCATATAATATTCAAATTCAGAAAATCAAAAATAAAGAAAAAATTCTGAAAGAAGCAAGATTGGTGTTGGAAACACACCTTACCTATGAGGAGCAAAGATAACATCTTGCTTCTCTCAGAAATCATGCAAGCAAGAAGAGAGTGAAATAAAGTATTTAGTGTTCAGAGAAAAAAAGCAACTAAACTAGAATTTTATACCTTGTTAAATTATGCTTCAAACTGAGGGAGAAATAAAACTTTTGTAAACAAAATTTGAGAGAGTAAATAGAATAAAACTGTCTTTTCCCCCAGATGACATGACTGTCTATGTAGAAAATCCAAAGGATCAACAAAAAACTGAAACTAATAGCTGATTATAACAAGGTTGCAGAATTCAAGGTTCATAAACAAGTTAATCATTTCCCTATATAACAGCAATAAAAAAGAAATTTAAAGTTAAAAATACAATATTATTTATATTATCACTCCCCAAAATGGAATACTTCAGTATAAATCCAACAAAATATGTACAATGTCTATATTAGGGAAGCCACAAGATTCTGATAAACAGAATCAAAGAAGAACTAAATAAATGATGAGATATTCTACATTCATATATAAGGAGACTAAATATTAAAATGTCAGTTCTTCCCAACTTGATATATATATAGCTCTTATGTAACTCCAATCAAACTCCCAGAAAGTTATTTTGTGTATACCAAAAACTTATTCTAAAGTATATATGGAGAGGCAAAAAAACCCAGCATATGCAGCCCAAGATTGAAGAAGTACAAAATTAGAGGGCTGACACCATCTGACTCAGCAATTACTATAAAGCTATAGTTACATAGACAGTGTGATATTTGTGAGACAATGGACAAATGGATCAATAGAACAGAAATAGATTCATGTAAATATTGTCAGTTGATCTTTGACAAAGGAACAAAGGCAATACAATGGAGAAAATATAGTATTTTAAACAAATGATTCTGGAACAACTGGATATCCAAATGCAAAAAAAAAAAAATAAAAAAAATGAATCTAGGGACAGACCTTATATCCTTACCAAAAATTAACTCTAAATTGATCACAAAACTAAATGTAAAATGCAAAATTATAAAATTCCTAGAATATGATATAAGAGAAAACCTCAGTGACTTTGAATATAGCATGACTTTTTGATAAAACAAGGAAGGCACAATCCATAAAAAAAAAGTGATTAGCTGGACTTTATTAAACTTAAAGACTGTTGTGAGAAAGACAGTTTCAAGAGAATGAGAAGACAAGTCAAAGAATTGGAGCAAATGTTTACAAGAGACACATCTGATAATGGGCTGTTACTCAAAATATACAAAGAATTCTTAAAACTCAGTAATAAAGAAAATGAACAACCTGATTAAAATATGGGCAAAATACCCGAACAAACTTTGACTTAAAGAAGATGTACAGAATTCAAATAAGTGTATGAAAAGCTGTTCAACATTATCTATCAGTAGGTAATTGCAATTAAAATGAGATACCACTACACCCCTATTAGGATGGCCAAAATCCAAAACACTGGAAATACCAAATACTAGCAAGCTTATGCAACAACTAGAACTCTCCTTTATTGCTGCTGAGAATTTTAAAAAGGTGCATCCACTTTATCAGACAGTTTGGCAATTTTTTTACTAAACTATACATACTCTTACTATATATGTTTTAAAAATATATTTTATTGATTTTTTACAGAGAGGAAGGGAGAGGGATAGAGAGTTAGAAACATCGATCAGCTGCATCCTACACACTCCCCACTGGGGATGTGCCCGCAACCAAGGTACACGCCCTTGACCGGAATCGAACCCGGGACCCTTGAGTTTGCAGGCTGACACTCTATCCACTGAGCCAAACCGTTTAGGGCACTCTTACTATATTATTCAGTGATTATACTCCTTGTTATTTACCAATACTAATAAAAACTTATGCCCACATTTTATTCCACCTGCACTTGGAATTTTATAGCAGTTTTATTCCTAATTGCCAAACTTGAAAGTAACCAAGATGTCTTTCAGTAGAAGAATGGGTAAATGAACTGCAGTGTATCCTGACAAAGGAATATTATTCAGTGCTAAAAAGAAATGAACTGTCAGGGCAATAAAAGACATAGAGTATATCTAAAATAATGTTACTAAGGAAAATAAACTAGTCTACAAAGGCTACATGCTGTATTATTCCAAACATATGACATTCTGGAAAAGGCAAAACTATGGAGATGGTAAAAAAAGAAAAAAAAGATAATAAAGTCATTGGTTGCCTGGAATTGGGGAGGAAAGAGGAATGAAAAAGCATTGCACAGAGAATATTTAGGACAATGACACTATTCATTATGATGCTTCAATGGTATATACATGTCATTATATATTTGTCAATATCCATATAGTTGTACAACACCCTGAGTGAACTGTAGTGTAAACCTTGGACTTTGAGTGATAATGATGTGTCAATATAGATTCATCAGTTGTAACAAATGCACTATTATAGTGCAGGGCATTGATAGGAGAGGAGGTTGTGCATGTATGGGATGGGGAGTATGTGGGTACTTTTTGTATTTTCTGCTCAGTATCGCTGTGAATAGAAAATTGCTCTAAAATGAAGTTTATAGTAATAAAAAATGAAATGATATGTCTGAGTCATGTAATGAAATATTCTGCAAAAAGAAGTCAACGAAATTATTTAATTTTTCATAATTTTAAAACATAAAACTATAATATGTAAAGATAAAAAACATAGTTTATTTTCATATGGACTTACAATTGGGTTTACAGTTTATATAATAAAAGACAATAATAAATTTTTACTTCTTTTAAAAAGGAGGTGGATTTCAGGTGATATTAGCAATTGAGACAGAACCAAAGCAGAAGGCACGTAATGCATATGTTGCTAGGAACTGAGCAGTTTAAAGAAAATTTGAACTGACATTTGAGGCAAGGTTTTATGTTTCATCCTGTGGTTTGTACTCAATGGAATCAAACAGTATATGATGAGGCACTTTTATTTTCCAGATTTGTAAACTTTCTGATCTGAGGAGCTCTATATGCAACCAGAGGCATCCTGAAAGTTATGAAGAAATATTTCTTTCATTCAAAGGAAAACAACATAGAAGGTAAACAGTTATTGACAATTTCTACTGGGAGCTTTAAGCAGTTTCTTTTTCTCTACCTGTTTGTCTTTTTCCTTACCATAGAGTCACTCCTTCAGAGTTCTGTTGTTTTCTTCATAGTAGTGCTAGTGAGCTGGTTACATAAAAGTATAAACTACTAAGGTGATGGAATTATCAGAGAAGATACTGTCCTTAGCTCTATGTATTTTTATTGGGATAGCAATACCCAAACCATGTTCTCTTCTTCAGATCTCACCATCTAGAGCTATACAGAAAATTCTTACATTCATTCATGTAGGCTTTCCCTCAGTGATTACTTATTGAGTATTTTGTACCACATGCTATTTTAGAATATAATGCAAAGCAAAAGAATCACTTTGTTCTCATGGAGATCACTGTTGTCTGGAAGAGATGAACATTAATGTAAAAAATCTCATAAGATGGTAACAATTCAGAAGAGGCCTAATAAAAACTCAGCTTTGGGAAGTCAGAGAAAAATGGGTCTAAAGAAATGAAAATTAGGCTTAGGTGAAAGAATAAATAGTTATCTAATAAAAGAGTAATATGCAAAGTAACCATCACTTTGCAATAAAGATGGTGGTGCCCGCAGCTAATAAGGAGGGAATATTCAAATTGACGTGACAAAGATGGCAGCACCAGCCGGAGCCAAGGAGCCAGCCGGAGGGTGGGTGGGAGCAACCCAGGAATGGGGCTAGGGGCGATCAGTCCAGGAGGGATGGGCAGTTGGGGGTGATCAGTCTGGCAGTGG